CGAACTAACATGGTTTAAAAGGTTGAAAGAATAATACTTATTTTAGTTTGAGATGAAGCATTATTTTTGATTTGTGAAGAGCAATGATATACAATAAATAATGTTACATATCTCGAATCTCATTAAGTCAATAATAAAAATATGTAATAATAAAAGTCCTCTGAGCAACATAGTGAAATGTTAAAAATAAAAAGAAATTTCTCATGTAGAAAGTTTTCAATAATTAAAATAAAATAGAAAAAAATATCGTTAATAGACGTAATATAAAATAAAAAAATATTAAAACATTAGATAAAAAAGTAAATGAGGAAAACTAATCAAAACATCATAGTATAAAAAATATACAAAATAGGGCATAGAAATTTTAAAAATAAAATAAAATAGGAAATACAAAATTATTATTTATATATTAAATATTCGAAAAATAACAATATAAGAAACAAAAAAATTTAAAAAGTAGGAGAAATAAAAATGTATATCGATATATAAAATGGAGTAGTGGACAAAGATACTAACCCATTAATAAAGCTTTTATATCTATGTAATAATACGAAATAGCCGATAATGTAATAAATTAAAATAACAAATAGAAAAGCTAATTAAACTATATAATTAGTTTCCTTTAATTTTATTATTTTTTTGTTGGTTACACTGCATTAAAGATACAAAATAATAGTTGAAATTTTATTAAAATAATATGATTAATATTTTTTTAGTGTTATTCGCGCATCGCACGGGTTCTAATACTAGTTTTTATTTTAATAGGTAGCTTGTGTAGTTAATTATGTTAAAATACAAAATTACAACTTGTTTGATAGAAAAAGGGCCAATTTTTTATATTTTATTTACTATGTGAAAGAGAACAATTGTATCTTTCATTATTTTCCTACTTCTTAGAAGAGGGAATAGCAGAGAGTTCTCCGTCAACATGCCTGCTTATGACGAGGACAGTCTGATCATTTGATGTGCTATTTGCTTTAAATTGTCTATTATGTCTTTATTGTTGTTAAATATTCGGATTAGATGTAGTAGGTCATTTTCTACCTATGTTGTGGCAATCACCGCTACCGAGTTTGAAGAACAATTTTCTCTCTCCTCAATTTTTGACGCATAGTTCTTCGCCGCTCAAGCTTCTTCTACCAAAGTAAATCCTTTTGATTTGCTTTGTTTCCTCTCTGTTTTTCTTTGGGTTTTGTTACTTTCTTCTCTTTGATTTTCGCACATTGTTTTGCCAAAATTTAAATTTTGACTTCTACTGAGATTCTCAAAAAAAATTAATCGAAGGTTACATCTGTTACTAGATTTCCTTGAATAACAGAGTGATTTGGTCATCTCCTTGCAACACTGGTAACATCGTCATCCGCCAACTGTACTTTTGCTCTGTCAGGGTAATTGCATGGGTTTAAAAAGTTTTTCCCCAGCTATGTTGTAGCTGGTACTTTGATATTGGTTCGGGCTTACAAAATGGTAAAATATTACAGCACAATCGAAAAAAATAAGCTGCCCGAGAGAATATTACGCAAGAATAATATTTTAAGAAATTATACTTTCATTATTTTGGCATTCAGATTGCGATTAAGTATGACTCTGTACTTTTTTCAACGCTTTAGAGATGCCAATAAAAAATTGTAATAAAGCAACATTATTTAAAAGTGTCAAAGGCATGTCCTAGATCATTCAAAAAGTGTTCTTAGTTGAAAAAGGTAATGTTCATTGTGTTAGCTTTAGAGATACTTAAATTTACACACAATATTAATTTGCACATGCCAATACCCTTTGGAATTGTTACTACTCGAAACTGAGAACTTGACAAAATTTCGCCTTAGAATAGAATGAAGTTTGGGTTAAAGCTTGTTGTCATGTGTTTAAGGATGTATTGATCCCTGTAGTATAGAACTTTGTATCTTGGTAGCTTGCCCTCTGCAGTTTTCCTTCTTGAATACCTTTCCACATCCTATATAATGGAGACGAGGACATAAACTTAAATTTTTCTTACTTGAAGAACGATAGTAACTGAGAGTAGAGTGGACCATTGGACATGCCTGCTTACCCACTTCAATGTCATCTTGTAGTTTGTTTAATTGCAGATATACATACTTATAGTTATAGGAACCTAATATGAATAAATCTTGCAGTTCTTATTTAGCTAAATTATTGTTTTTTTTTTCATATATTCCAGAACCTATTGGTCATGAAATAAGCACTCTATTTGATGGTTCATTTTTATCTTGATTAAAACTTATTCTCTTTGTTATTGGTTTGGGTTTAGTAGGTACCAATAACATATAATCCTTTGCATGGTATAAAACTCAAGCTCATTGGTTTTAAAAGTTCTTTTTAGGTATTTTGTTGTGATTCTATAGCTGGGTTTCTATGAAACACAGAGCATAAAGATCAAAATAATTTGTCCATCTTCACGACTTCGGTGACGTTCTTCACTACTCCATTTTGCTCTTTCAAGGTAAGCGCATAGTTAAAAAAGTTAGTGTGCTGATCTATCGTGTTGGGTCTTTTATTACGGCTCTATTGTTTGAAGGTTTATAAGTTTGACTTCACTGAGCTTCAATAAACTGATAATCAGACTGTAATCTTTAATGTATAACCTGTAAATTATAGAGCTTTGATTTTTTTCGTTCTTTGTCTCAACGTAAAGATTTGGATAGTTTGAGTTGTTTAGTTTTCCTTTCTGGTTGGGTATAAATAAGAGTGTATGAATTGCCCAAATTAAAATAAACACTCAGGACCAAACTACTATTTCTGATTACTATCTTAAAGGTATGAAATGTTGAGTACTTTAATATATGTCAGTTAGTAGCCATGTTGTTGGAACGTTAAAACTTTGCTCATATTTAACTTATGTCTCCTTCTTGCTCATTGATATATTCCATATGTCTTACTTCTGCACTTTTATCATTGGTAGAGATAATATTTTCTATTTTACACAATCAACACCTTTGAAATCATTTACTCTATCAAGACCTGCTATTCATCTATTAGTCGAGCAAGATTCTCAAAGCTTGCAGTAATTACTTCCTGAAATTACTGGTTGAGTTTATTGTCTGGATAATGACCGTGTATGTATTCAGTTACATGTTTAACCTGCATCTTTAGAGTTGCTTAGTTATTATACATAATTATTATCTTTATATGTTGCCGAAGCTGGACTGACTCAATAAATTTCTTGAGCACATGTGGCCTTATCTGGACAACATACTCTCCATTTCTTAACAGTGTTTTGAATTTCCTTCTCATAGTATCTTAGGTAACTAGCTTGTGTAAATTATTTTGTATAATTAGGTTTTTTGCATGACTGCAAAAAGTATTGTGCAGCTATTATTGTAGGGCAAAATTTTGAAACATCCAATTTGGGTTCCTTACCTACTTTCCAAGCTTAGTGGTTCTTAGTGGCCATAACTAAAGTTAGTTGGTGTTTTTATTTTCAGATACTGTTTCGGCTTGCTAGACATTAAACTATAGCATAAGATACAGAAGATGTTATTTCTTACCCGCATTCTTTCCATTTGTATTGTAAAAAAAATTAGATGACAATTGTTAAATGACCTTGATGTTTTCATTTGGCAAGTAAATTTTCTGCTTAAGAAGACATATCAGTTATGTAGGATACTTTATAGTTGCTCCATTTGTTAGTTGAAGCTCATACTCATATAAAACCGTCAAGGAGTTCACACTCAAACTAGTTGTTGTTGTTGTTGTTTAGACACATAAGAAGAGTTTTTGATAAATCACTTGATTAGTGCAAGTTATGGATGAATTTGACTGCATTGAAAAGGTCCAGTTAGTAAAGCTTATTCCTTTGACACAAAGATACAAACTCGCCAACTAAAAGGTTTTGTACAAATAAGAAGGAATGACGAAAGGCGAAACAAAGGAGTTAAAAGCATAATTTTCCAGTAAACTAAGAGACCTAACTAAGAGTCCTCTAATTTTAACTTGATTTAGGCAAAAAAGTCTTTGAATATGTTGACTGACGTACTTATGGATAGTCTTCTCATATTGATAGAGTTTTCCTGTTAGTATGTGTTCTCTATACGACGAGTTCTTTGCGAGATACAATTACATGCTTTTCTTGAGAAGAAATGACTTACATCTGGAAATATTAATAGAGGTGGCATGTACTAGCCTTCTTGAGATATAGTTTTACCAATTTCATTAAAGTTATCAAATGTAAATTAGTATGCTCCTTCGCTCATTATCAATACTTGTATTTGCATACGTTATGCTATTCATTTACTAATATTTTAATAAAGTTTCAATTGATTCTACTTCAGCAATACTGTTACCAACTCATTTTTGAAATAATAATGATCATAAACATTTTCATGGATACTCCTTTTAACTCTGTGCAGATCAACTAGGCTCGCACATTTTGGATGCAGGGTCTGTCCTTTTTGATGATTTAGTTCACAACGCGCTCAGCTCGATCTACTTTTTGACGAACTTATATGATATTGAAAACTAAAATTTAAAAGTCAAAGGATAAAGAACTTTATGCACTTTGCTTTTGGGTCCTTGCAGATATTGTCACTGTATATTTATTTACAGTAGTAGTATTTTTTATATTTCTCTTTAGTACTTAAAAAAATCATGACAAAGAATTTGAAAAATTAGTGAAACCTCTCATAAGAGAGTCAAAATATTACGGTGAGAATCAGAAGTAACATAGTGTAATGAAATAATATAGATTGTTTATGTTGGGGCCGTGCTATCCCTACTAGTAGTACATACAATAATTACACTGAGCTTTATCCAAGTAGTTCAAATATATCCGTCATCTGTCCAAGGTATGACATTAACATTTTGGAGAAATTACATGCCACCTCACCAATCTCAATCTATTTTACACGTCTTTGTTTCTTCTTACTAGCACTAATTCGCCCATCGAAAGAAAGGAAAAGAGCAAATTATTTCACTAGGACTAGTATAGGACTACACAACTACTGTATCAAATTATGAAAGGAAATGAATTAACTTTTTCCTTTGTTTAAACTTAAACCCTTGACATTGGCTTAGAAACCAAGAATCAAAGGCTTAAATATAGGGTACAAAATAGAAATTTAACAACCACATATAACACTGCAAAAACCTTTTAACACACGTTGTGAGAGGGCTGCGTTGCTGGAGAATGACGAAAGCAATGGAAACTGAGACTCAAGAGGTGGTGACGCCGGGACAAGTATTGGGTAAAGCGTCACAGTTGAAAGCCGGAAAAGGAGCTTACGTTTCAACCGAACACGACACCGTTTACGCCTCTCTCACCGGTTTCCGTTCTCTCATACCTCCGCCTTCTGACTCTCTTGACCAGGTTTTCTTCTGAATCCTAGCAGACTAATCTATAATTATGTGGTTTTCATCACTTTCTGTTGACGATGTTTTCCTCTATTTTGTCAATATTTAATCATCAGAGACCAACAGTGGAAGTTACTGGTCATAAGGCCCATGGAGCTGTTCCTCAGCCCGGTTCAATTGTTTTTGCTAGAGTGAGTTTTCTTGGTTATGGGTAGTTTTCATGAATATTCTGCTCTAACGTTTTAGTATTACCGAATTTGAATAGCTAATTTTTTTAGTTTGATGACACAGTCATCACTCTCTCTGCTCCAGTATTTGCCTGAGTATAAAACATTAAGAGCTATTTAGAGAGAAACATTGTCTCTTGTCTCTATATGATTAAGTTTATCCAAAAACAGCTAGTTGATAGCTTGCATTGCATAGATAACCCATAAACAAGAATGCTAAAGTATTTAGAGAAGTATTGTTATGGGGGAGCTGAAAATGCAGAGATGGGGCCTGAAAAAGTTGGGGTTTGGAAAAATGGTGAAGAGAGAGGGAGAAGAAGAGGAGGCAGAGGCCATAACTGTGGGAATTAAGGCTAAGGAAGATGAGTAGGTGAAAGCTTAATTGGAGACGTGTCTTTTAATCAGGCTAATTAGTACTTAAGTGTCTCCAAGCCTGGTGTGTTAGTGAATAACGGCAATATTGAGCTAACAACAGAGGGCAAATTGTTCAATTTCGCATAGTTCATGGGCCCTTTGCCCTTTCGTTTTATCATTATTTGATAGTCATTCCCTGGATGAGCTCTCTTTTTAATTAATTATATTCTTTTGACAGGTCACTAAGGTTATGCCTAGAATGGCTTCAGCAGACATAGTGTGTGTTGATTCCAAGTCTGTGCGTGAGAAATTCACCGGCATTATTAGGTTAGTTAAATTGAGTTTCCTTTTTGGTTAAAAATTATGACTACAGGTTTAGGGTGATTCTTGATGAGTGATTTCATCAAAAGTTTGTCTTTTCTTATGTACAAGATGGATGAAGAAATCTGTTGGGGCATAATACAGAGCCCCCTCACTTGACAGAATAGTTGATGTAATGAATATAAGTATTACTTCTGAGTTTTGTGACACAGTTTTTCTTATGCATGTGGTCTTTGTATACTTGTTTGTACTGGTTGCACCCTGAATGTTCTTATTAAAAGAATGGACAATATTGACACAGATCGTCTCATGCTTATGGTTGTTTTGCAATTCAGACAATAACCGTGGCTGAAAAAGGTGTTCGGTGGTTAAGTTTGGTAACTGGTTTTTCATGCTAATTTGTACATATTATAATATTACCAACTACTCCAAATGTCACAAAGTGCAAAATATGATAGATTTGCTGAAAATGCCTGTCAGTCTAGATTTTAATTTGAAACCTCTACCCAATACAATTAGACGGATCGAATTGCACTTTGTTGCATTGAATGCTTTAAAAATAAGCTTTATGAGATGATCATAGGTCATAAAGTTACTGCTATTTTATAGACTACTGTGAAAGTTAAATATATTTTGTTGAAACTGAATAATGTAATTGTTATACTATTCAATTTGGCTGTTTTTCTTACATTTGTATGGAATATTGGGATATACTATCTTTGAATTGATCTTACAATCTGAGTAAAATTGATGTTTAATAAGGTCTTCACATGGATCTTGTGTTAAAAAGAAAGGGGATAAAGACTTCTCCAGCCAAAAAA